TATTTTTAAATATTATAGTTACATTAAATCCTTTTTCTTTTTTAGTGATAGGATGCTTGAGTGTTCTGAATTTCCACATGCTTATGATAATCCTAGCAGCATAAATAGTCCAGCTCGACCAGTGTCAAGACTTCCTTCATATACTCATCATCGAACTTCGTCAAATGTTTCAAACGCAAGCACATCAAGTCAAAGTAATATTAATCCAACATTTCGTTTAGAAGATGAAGATGATTATTCTTTGTATTCACCTGGACATTATTATCAACGATCTTCAAATATTGTTTCAAATGTTGGAACATATAGCCCTAGTATGCTTAATCATGAATATGGTTCACAATTACTGACGCGTCAAAATTCACATGATTCGAATTCAAATTCTGGGGAAAGACCTAGTAATTTAGAGGTAGTTAGTCGATTACGGTCAAGTTTAAAACGATCTAATTACTCATATAATTCTCCAAATAAAAGCGTAAGTAAAAATAACTCAGGTTCAGGTACCCCAACAAATCCTACTCCCCCAGATTCTTTAACTTCTGAGGATTCAAGCTATGTTTCAGCTAAGGATAGTCAAATTTCTATAAGTAGGGTTCGATTTTCTCCAGTAACATTCGATCGAGATGGAGTTTCACGTGATCATAGAGAAACATTACTTGATATCCCAGTACATGGACAAAGTCAAGATGCTACCATACCGTTACAAGCTAATCGACGAATGAATATACATAGGAAACCAAGTATTTCTGAATTAGAAAGAGAATTCTTGTCATAGCATTGGCTTATTTAAAATGATAAAGATTATAAAGATTAGGAATTCAAGAAATTTTGTCAATCTTGAAAGTAACACTCAATTACAATCACACAAATCAAACAATTTATGATACGGCAAAAGTTTATTGAATCATAACTAGAAAATACAGCGATGCACGTTGTCAAAGCACTGCCTCCTGCAAAACATTTAATCATGTATTAATATTGGTCATTGAATACAGTAAGAATGTAACATTCCTTATACAGAGATATCCTTATAAAAGACTTTTGTATTCAATTAGACTGCTTTTAATTTAATAAAGAACTGATATGTCTCACATATGTTTTGTAGAAATAGTATAAATGCCAAGATGATAATTTTTACATTGACCATTCGATACTATATAATGTTTTTAAATCATATTTTATGTATTACAAATGTTTTATTCATACATTCCACACATCCTGCATCTGCTGTTAGCATCTGGCATATAAATATGATATATTTTTATTGTTTGCATGAGTACTTGACAAATTTTAAAAGAAGATGAATATTTGAATTCAAATGTTTTGAAAAAACGTATATACAATCGTATATATATACGTGTTATATTACAAAGTTAAAAGTAATATTAGCTCCTTTTTATAATATTAAAAATTAAATTCAGTACAGTTGTACAATTCTATTACTTGTTTGTTTAATATCACTTTAGAAAAATGAAATTTTATTGTTCCTTTAGTTTTACATCTATTCATATTTATTACAAATATTAATGTTAACCATAATTTACATTCCATCAAAATTTTTGTGACTGATAGACATCATTAAATGTTGAAATTAATTAATATTTAATAAAGTGAAATATATAATCAGGAAAACATTGATAAAATTAACTGAATAAGATTGTTTATAGTTTTTTTGATATTACTTTATGACAATATGTATATGTATGCATGTATATAGAAGTATGTATATATATATATACTTCTAGAACAATTTTATATCATGAACAATAGGTAATTGTAACCTTTCGCAAACTCGATGTTTTCCTGTATATAGCTATGAAACATGTGTAATTAATAAGAATTATGATATATATACGTTTTTTCTTTGACATTACATTGTCAAGTTTCGTGTATTATTTTATTAACTTTTAATCTTTATACAAGTACCATGGCACTAGACACACGTGTGAAAAGTTTGTACAGTAGCAATTTTAATGCATTTGTAAGCTACCAGTGTGATAGGTTTAATTTAGTACGCCATGTGCAGTTAAAATAATACTTCTTTTATATATGAAAACAGTATGCATTTTGATAATTGGCATACATGTAGAAAAATGTTTAACATACCTAGTTCATTTATAAAGAGTATATAGCGATCTAATGTGTGATATACTTACAAAAAATTTAGAACAAAGACACTCCATATACATAAATAATATTGTACATACAAGTATATATTAGATAATTATTGTTTGCTTAACAATGTAATAAAATCAATACATTCCTTTACATTAGTTACATTGTATAAAGTTTGTAATTTTTCTTAGAGTTTTAAATGCACGAGTGCCCTAGAAATTATTTTGTATTTACTTAAAATACTAATAGATGATCAGAATATTGAGTATTATATAAATATATTTCCTTTTTTTCTCAATCATTTAGGTAGCCGATAAGAAATAAATCAGTTTATGAAGCCCTTTATTCTGATTTATATTTTGTCTTTGTTATAGTTAAAATAAATTGAACTTGAGTCTTATGCGTGCATGTATTTAATTTACTTAAGTTGATCAAAATTTATTTACATGTTGCGTATATTCTACGCCATTTTATGGAATCAAAATAATTCATTTATTCCTTTGACCTCACATAAAATGTTAAATGTGCAAAAAGAAATTTTTATTTCAAAAGTTACGTTTTTATAATGATTTCCTGAGTAATAATCAGTATTGTAGGATATGTCTCAATGTATATAAAACATTATAGAATTAAAGAAAAATGGAAGGATAAACTTTGAAGAAGTATTTTATTGATCATTTTTACTATCAGTAGTAATTAAAATATCATTTTATACAAATTTTATGCATTTATACATCTTTTTTATTGATTTAAAAATTTTGGAAATACTTTGTGAACAAAATTCTTCTCAGAGTAAACCAATTAAGTATTAAAAATAAATTGAAACATTTTTGGAGAAAGAATAATAAATACATTCAGTTTCACTTAGGACATATAAAAGTTTATTACGTAACATACTAACTATTTCATTTGAGTCATACTTATACTTTTTCAAAGTTCAATTTGTAAAATTTTGCATATAATTAAAGATAATTAATTGGTTGACTGAAATATTTATGATGTTATTAGAAACCTATAGAATAAATATTTCATGGATATGCCTTTCTATGTTGTACAAAAGATATTCTGCGGTGCTAGTATCATGTACTTAATATGTTAAGAAAGACAAAAAAGTTGAAAATGCTTCCAAGGTAACTGAGAAATACTTAATGAAATCTTAGGATGCTAATATCAATACTTGTTGATAGTAACAATAATTTAATTATATCGAATGTAATATTAGGCAGCTATCAACTATCAATTGTGTAATGGCATATGATTGCCAACAGTGCTAGTCTAAGCTATATTTATTTTTTATATATTATGACTTATTTAGCTTACAATAAGAAACATCCAGTTTTGTATTTCATTAAAGACCATTTATACATTATATGTTTTGTTACTTAGTCATGTATGAAAAAACATTGTTCAGAATAACTAAATTAAAAATATAACTTCTCATGTATAGTAAATATATACTTTAAACCATATGTTATAAAACTTAATTTATATTTATACTTATATAAATATATATAAGATAATTATTTTTTATAATTCAAATCGTTTTTTTAATCAAACAATTCAATGTGAACAAATAGTGTTATTCTGAACATGCTTTTCTCAATACAAATTTAGATTGTAAATATTTTCTTGTTGAAATTACACTAAAACTGCATGCTGCTTATAAATAGTAATGTGTATAATAACATTTATGACCAAGAAGATAATTATAAAACAAGTGTACTTTCAGTGTACACGAAGTATTTACTGTGGTACCCTTATCATTAATTGTTTGTTTGTTGTAAATTGTACTAATTCATTTTATTATCTTTAATTACATTTGATAATAACTACTGATGATGAGGAGTTTATCACAGTCTTTTGATTTAATATTCACATGTGAAATTAATCCTTTGTCAGTATTTTTTTGTAATATATGAATTTAGAAGATGTAGAATGTACTGCAACCCATAAGATAAATCTGTAATTACTGGCAGTTTATTTAAATTTTCTATAGCTGTAAGATAAAACAATTTTTTCTATAGCTGTAAGAATATTACTAATAAGCTAAGTGCAATGTGTTCCACGTGTATTTAAGTAACAAGTGACTGCTTTGGTGTGCGCCTTAAAAATAATGTAATGCAGAACCCAAAGCTTGACAAAGGAACCTTTTATGTAATATAATTCTAATAACAATTGTATGAAGATTTAGGAATTTCAAAGAATTTTCTGCAATGGATATAGTTTGCCAAATAATGATATTGGGCACTGCATGATCACCAATATTTATGAAAAACTATAAAAAAACAGAATGGTACAATAAGAAAAAAAGAAACATCTATCCGATTTATTATACAAAATTATTAAAAATATGTGATTTCATTGAAGAAATGCAATAATAAATATTGTCTTCGATTTTTTACTCAATGGATTTAAATGTAATAAAGCATACAAAAATTAAATGGGAAATGTACTGATGCGGTGTCTGATTTGCACTAAAAATTCATGTATTTTTCCAAGCATTGTACATTATTCTATAAATATTAATTATATAAATTATAAATAGTAACCGGAGTATATATTACATTAATTACTATAATTATTGTAACATTAAAACATCACAAATTGTAGGTGATGCCTTATTATTATTAATAAATCATTTAAAATAATAGCACAGATAAAATTAAATTCTTTTCTTTATTGTATTTTTATAGTAAAAGTTGTTTTATACATTTGAAAACTAATAAATGATTTTCTATTGTTTAAACAAAAAAAAAGATACAATAAAAAATTTTTAATTTCTTTATATTTAAAAAGTTAAAATTATTGTTTTAAATATTCTGAACATGCTTTTCTCAATACAAATTTAGATTGTAAATATTTTCTTGTTGAAATTACACTAAAACTGCATGCTGCTTATAAATAGTAATGTGTATAATAACATTTATGACCAAGAAGATAATTATAAAACAAGTGTACTTTCAGTGTACACGAAGTATTTACTGTGGTACCCTTATCATTAATTGTTTGTTTGTTGTAAATTGTACTAATTCATTTTATTATCTTTAATTACATTTGATAATAACTACTGATGATGAGGAGTTTATCACAGTCTTTTGATTTAATATTCACATGTGAAATTAATCCTTTGTCAGTATTTTTTTGTAATATATGAATTTAGAAGATGTAGAATGTACTGCAACCCATAAGATAAATCTGTAATTACTGGCAGTTTATTTAAATTTTCTATAGCTGTAAGATAAAACAATTTTTTCTATAGCTGTAAGAATATTACTAATAAGCTAAGTGCAATGTGTTCCACGTGTATTTAAGTAACAAGTGACTGCTTTGGTGTGCGCCTTAAAAATAATGTAATGCAGAACCCAAAGCTTGACAAAGGAACCTTTTATGTAATATAATTCTAATAACAATTGTATGAAGATTTAGGAATTTCAAAGAATTTTCTGCAATGGATATAGTTTGCCAAATAATGATATTGGGCACTGCATGATCACCAATATTTATGAAAAACTATAAAAAAACAGAATGGTACAATAAGAAAAAAAGAAACATCTATCCGATTTATTATACAAAATTATTAAAAATATGTGATTTCATTGAAGAAATGCAATAATAAATATTGTCTTCGATTTTTTACTCAATGGATTTAAATGTAATAAAGCATACAAAAATTAAATGGGAAATGTACTGATGCGGTGTCTGATTTGCACTAAAAATTCATGTATTTTTCCAAGCATTGTACATTATTCTATAAATATTAATTATATAAATTATAAATAGTAACCGGAGTATATATTACATTAATTACTATAATTATTGTAACATTAAAACATCACAAATTGTAGGTGATGCCTTATTATTATTAATAAATCATTTAAAATAATAGCACAGATAAAATTAAATTCTTTTCTTTATTGTATTTTTATAGTAAAAGTTGTTTTATACATTTGAAAACTAATAAATGATTTTCTATTGTTTAAACAAAAAAAAAGATACAATAAAAAATTTTTAATTTCTTTATATTTAAAAAGTTAAAATTATTGTTTTAATGTGTTTCAATATTATTTTATTAAATAAGAAATTATTTAAATTATATTGTAATAATAGTAATTATGCCATTAAACATGGATTTTCATGAATGCAATTGCAAAAATGTAACAATTACAGAGGGAATATTTGGAGAAACCTGGGTTGGTAAGCTGATTGATGGTTTTTATTTTGTGACATAAGAGTAATATATATATAGTACTTAAACTAATATTAAATTATTTATAATCAGATAATAATGATCAAATTTTTACTGATCCTATTCCAAAAACTGTAAAATCATATACTATGGTAAATACTAATCGAATGGAAATTATTGTTATTACATGGGGTGCTACAATTGTATCTTTGAAATGTCCAGATAAATATGGATATTCTACTGATATTGTCCTTGGTTTTGATGATATAAAAGGTATAATATTGTTATTAATTTCCTATCATAATAAAGATGATTATTAATTGTAATCAAAACACATCACACATTACAGGGTACTCAAATCCTATAACAAATCCATTTATTGGTTGTATACTAGGCAGATGTGCAAATCGCATTAAAAATGGTCATGTCACTATTAGAGGCAAAGATTATGAATTAACAAAAAATGATTTCAATAGAAAACATCATTTACATGGAGGAGTAAATTGATTAGTCATATCATACATTCCCATACAAATAATAAGTAATGTCATTTATATATTCCTACTAGACAAATGGATTTGGTCGTAAAGTTTGGGATTCATACATTACTGGATGTTCAGTTGTTATGAGTTACTTAAGTCAGGATGGTGAAGAAGGCTACCCAGGTGCAGTGTTAACTACAATAAAATTTAAATTGACTCCTGATAACAAATTTAACATATGCATGAGAGCTACAACTTCAAAACCAACAATAGTGAATTTATCACATGGGTCTATGTTTAATTTAGCTGGGCATGTAAGTTATATTTATTTAAATATATATTTAGTTAAATAAGTAAAATATAATAGGATACTGGAGAATCTGAATTGAGAAAACATAAAGTACAACTGAACTGTGATCGTTGGACATTTGCGGATTATACAGATCCAATTCCAACGGGTGCCATTCGTGGCGTAGGTGGAACGGTGATGGACTTTCGAATACCTCAAATTTTAGGAGAATGCATAGAAAAGGTATCAAAGTATTATATATTTTAAAAATGTTAAATGTTTTGTTTTAATTGATACTAGGTACCACCTGGAGAAGGTTATGATCATAACTTGTGCATTACAAAAAATGGACAATCTGGTAGTTCATTTGTTGCTAAAATATGGCATGTAAAAAGTGGACGGTATATATCTATTAAATACATGAATTATTTATCAAATGATGTAATTATTTAAAATATATTTATATTTAGTGCTTTAGAAATTTATTCAGATCAATGTGGAATACAATTTTATACTGGAGGTCGTTTACCACCTCAGATGGTTCCAGAATTTTTATCTAATTATGACTTATTAGCAGTAAATTAATATTTCAATTATCAATAATATTTTATTTGTTTAAATAATAACTTGTATTATAATTTTGATTGCTTTGTAGAACATTGAAGAAAAAGGAGAACATGATGAATATAAAAGTGATGATGAAAATGAAGAAATGAAAGTTCAAAAGCATTATAAAAAAATATTAAATGTACCTAAAAAGCTAGAATTTATTTTAGGAAAACATGGTGCTCACTACAAAAAATATTGTGCTTTTAGTATTCAACCACAAAATTACCCTAATGCAATACATTATGTAAGTATTTTTTGTAAGTATATGATAGCATTATAAATTTCAAATACAATTATAAAAATTAACATACAAAACTAAATTGTTTTCAGTCACATTTTCCATGTTCTATACTATATCCTGGTCAAGTTTATTATCATGATCTGACATATAAGTTTGAAGTACAGCTTGCAAATTATATGTAATAAGTTTAAATTTTGTTTATTTGCTATTAACTTCATTTATAAATATCATGCAATGTTATAATAAAATAATAACTTTTTGTAGTAAATATATTAATAATAATATATATATATATATAATACCATAGATATTTCTTCTTTAGTTTATGTTATTTTTTGTCAGATACACTTCTTCTTTTATTAAAAAATTTAGCTATAGCACCAATCATGCTACCAAAAGTTTTATGAATTATTAATGTATGTTGAATCCAACATGGAAGTGCTTTTATTTTATAAGTGTAGCGTTTATCTAATAATACAACTGTTGAGTAATCATTAATGTGTCGAATAGCTCGTCCAACACATTGATTTACTGCTTTCATGCATGAATTTTCATAATAATTTTGACCAGCATTAGGTTTCTATTTAACAAAAACATATAATATTAATATATAATATATCAAATAGATGATATTAAATACATAATATATAATATAAAATATATAACATTAAATATATATAAAAGTTATATGATATTAAATGCTATTTTTTGTTATCATAAAAGAATAAAAAAGAATACATACAATATTTTCATTTAAATATTTAATCTTCTCTTGTAATTCTAATGACTTGATATTAGGATATGGCATTCCTACAATTATAATACATCGTCCCAAATCATCAGAAAAATTTAATCCTTCACTTAATTTACCACCAACTACACTAAATAACAGTGATCCAGTTTGTGAATTTTGTGGTTTCTTTATATGAAATGAATATTGTTCCAAAATTTCATTTACCTATAATTTATAACTTATACTAAATTTAAAATAAAATAGACTTAATGAAAGAAAAAGCTTACAAAAAATTGTTAATACCTGAGAAGCTAACTTAGGTTCCCGAAGAATATGTTTTTTTAAAGAAAGTTTTGCAATAATACCAGATTTATCTAAATGTTTGTATACTAGTTCTTCAAAATTATAAGATGGTAGAAATACTACAATACCAGCTGGTATAATATTACATAAATTTAATAATGCTCTCCCTAATTCGTCCAACTAAAATATATTTATTATGAAATATATTATATTTTTTTACTATTTATGTCAATTATAAAAATTAATTACTCATACTATAATTCAATTAATATAAAAATATTATTTACCAATTTTGTATTTTGTCGATTTTGAAAATTAAATTCAAATTCAATGCCAGTTGGGCCATGAGTTGTAATACTGCATATTATATTATCTTTAGGAATTATATGATCACATGAAAATGTAACAATTCTTTCAGATGTAGCACCTGCTGCTATAAACAATTGTTCTGTAAACTCATTCATTGGTGCCATTGTTCCACCAGTTAATATTACAGCTCTAGCATCATGAACTATTAATAATTAAAAAAAAATTTTATTTAAGATAATCATAAGGGTAATGATATGAAAAGTTAAATTAAAATTTTTAGATAAAATAAAATAAATCCAATGAAATTAAACTTATAGTCATACCAATATTATGAAAATGTGCTGCTGGATTTAATAAAAGAAATTTTATTGTGCTTTGTCCAATAGTTGGACCTGGAAATACACATATACGTCCATCAGTACAGCAGCTTTTTAAACATTCTAGAAAACTTACAATTTTCATGACTGGATTATTTAATTGTTCTTGATTTGATAAATTGGTATCTGTCATTGTATCAAATTCTATGTTTTTGGTTTTAATAGAATTTAAAAATTGTTTTACACCAGTATGAATCTTTAAATTTGTATCATGTTGTTCTATGAATCCTTGTAGTTTATGACACAATTGAGAATTTTTAATAAATTTCATCAACTCAAATATATTTATTGTATCAATTTCTGTCATTCTTTCAAATTCTTCTATTTTATACATTCTTGGACATGCTTCTATATTTATAACATCATCAGGACTTGATTTTATACTAGCTCCCAAAACTGTTAAAAGTTTTCTCAAACAAAAGTTTAATTGCGTTAATTTCAAAACATTTTTAGCTGAGAATAAAGATTGAAATCTAAAATTAATATTATATTAATTCTTAAATACATTAATAAAACTTATAACAATAACAATAATAATGATTCATACAGAAAATGTTTACCTTTTTTGATATTGAGAAAGTTGGCTATAACAATGTAACAAGTTTCTGCCTGTAATCATAACACTATGCATTTTTTCAATGGCCTCCAATATATTATGCGCTTCATCAATTATTAATATGTTTCCTTTCAAATTTATTCCTGAACTAATTCTAGTATTTTCATGTAATATTGAATTATATGGTATTAGTATTAGTTGACTATATGGTATAGCTTTTCTTGATGAATAATATGGACATGTTTTAAGACTTTCTCCTTTTTGGACAATTTCTTCAACATCTTGAATTTGTATTAATGTTTCTCCTATTAATAAATCTTGATCTCCTGGCACAAAGGGACAACTACTTGTCATCTTTTTTCTTTTAAGATCTTTTTCATCTTTAACAGTTATGTTTTTCCTTTGTAATTGTAAGCAATATTCATTAATTAAATTTAAATGTTCCAATTTTTTTACACTTTTATTAATGCAATAATTTTTCCTAAAATTATTAATAAAATTAAACAAAATTTTTTAATTTTTTGAACAACTTATTTGTATAAATTAACACTTAAAATCAACCTGGATGTCAGTGTTACTACCGATATATTTTTTGAATAAGGACTTTTTCTGAGTTCTTTTATAAACTGAGATAATTGAGAATGAGTTCTAGAGCAAAAGAAAATTTTGGTACTTTCATATATTTCTTCTTTCTCTTCATCTTCAGAGCTTTCTGAATGTTGCACATTTTCCAAAAGTAATTCTTCCTCAATATCTTCATTTTCATTGATTTTATTAACCAAATTATTTGTTTCGACTTCATCTTTTGTAGAATTTATTATAATTTTATTATGTGGATTTTTCCTTTTATTTTTTATACCTTTAATTGTTTCTTTTAATGTATACTTTTTTTGTTCATGTTGAAGAATATTGTTCAATTTTGTTTGCAATATTTGTCTTTTGCTATTCAATTCTATCTGTTCTGTTTGCACCGAAAACCAATTGTTAGAGGAGTTAGTGCATTTTTTGATTTGTACATCAAGTTCAGAAATTGCAATTGTCAAATGATTCTTTTGTAGTTCTTCATGATCAAGTAACCATTTTAAAGCACCACAAATAATTGACATAGATTTACCAGTACCAGTTGGACTTTCAAAGATTCCTAACTTAGCATTTTCCAAACATTTATATAATTCTTTCATAAACTGTTTTTGTATTGAATATGGAGAGAAAGGGAAAGGAAATTCTTCAATAGTTTGCATATTACTTAATAATATAAAACTGAGTTATGAATTAATATAATGAAATTGACTATTACAAACTATTTACATTTAATAAAAAGAAAAATGTGTATTAGTTTTACAGCACTTGAAATTAGTATTAAGTGAATAAAAATAAGTAATAAATTAACTCTGCATAATACTACTATAGGACGTTATACGTGCCATGTACAAATGACATTTCTAAATCGAATCGTATAAGAATACTATGAAGTGAGTTAATAATGACTGAAATTCAAAAAAGAATCGAACTTCGCGTGTGTACAAAATTTACGAATATTGATAATTGTGCACATTTAACATTATGAATACAACATAATATCTAGTAAGTATATAATATGAAAAATTATTTAATTACAAAAAATATTTAAAAAAATAAAAACTTTTTAGGTTATAATGAAACAGTTTCACTATAAAATGAATTTACATTGAGAAGTGAGGTGTATCTATTAAGTGGAATCACATGTTCACTTAAAGTTGAAAGTTGTTAAAAATGATCATCCGAAAAAAAATTTGGCCTCATACTTTGAGTGATATTTTTTCTATGACTTTTATATTGACAATTGTGCCAATAATATATTGGTTTGAATTGTGGGTGGTTTTACCAACACTATACCAATATGGATCATTGCCATATATTTTGCATTTCCTTTTTGGAAATTTTGTTATGTTAAACATAGTTGGAAATTTTACATATATAGTTTTTTGTGACACCAGCACCAGAAGAGATATTATGCCAATAAGTGCTGCAAATACTAAAGATGGTTGGAGATTATGTGCTTCATGTGAAACTCTTGCACCTCCACGTTCATGGCACTGTCCCACATGTAATACTTGTATATTAAAAAGGGATCATCACTGTATTTATACTGGATGTTGTATTGGCCATTTTAATCATAGATATTTTATTATGTTTCTTCTATACTTATTTGTAGCAACAACATGTAGTTTTTATTATAATAATTTCTTTATTTGGAATAGGATGCATTTTGAATTTCCTGTATCACTTATTAAAATTATTTTTCCTTTAGCAATATTCATTTTTGGATTTGATGGTTCTATAAATCAATTTTATTTAATTTTGTATATTGTATCTGCAGTTGGAATGTTATACACAGCAGTTTTGTGTATTTATCATATTTGTTTAATGTTCAATGGAACTGTAGCCAATGAGAGTAATAAGAAGATACATATATATAATTTAGGTTGGAAACAAAATGTAAAAGAAGTATTAGGTGACCGATGGTACCTTACATGGATACTTCCATATATAAAGTCTCAATTACCTCATAATGGTGTAATATGGGATACATCTAATTCATGGATATACATAAATCCTAAAAGTAAATAAATGTAAATAATATAAATTCCTTTTTTAATATTTATAAAAATGAATAATACAAAATACTTAATAATTTGTGCATAAAAACATAAGAGTTACAAATTTATAAAATTTATAAAAACGTAAATTTACTAAATCAATTATATTTTATTACATGTATTACAAAACATCTATTATTAAATAGGTATAGTATATACACAACTTTTGAAACAGATTACAAATCAGAATATTGTTTATAGTTGTATACTAACTGGTAACAATTTTTGTCAAAAATATAAATTTAATTATGTTTGGAATCAGTACTTAGTTTTTATTCTTATTCAACAAATTATAAAAATCCCAAAGAATATTATGTTTCTTTCAAAATAATCAAAGAATTTAATTTTGATATTTACACATAAATGTTTAATTTAAATTACAAAATATTTGCTTAAAAATTGTTGGTCTTACATACTCAAAGATTTTATCACCCTAATAATTTATATTAAAAACATAATATAATAGTACATTGGTAAGACTAGTTTTAAAATCAGTGTTATTATATGATATTACATATTAACCTTAAATAACTTTTATTACATATTTTGTAATTTAATATAATAATATTAAACATATAATTATATTTGTATTGTAGTTTAGATTTTTCAGAAAATATTTAACTATAGGATTTTATAAAGAAAAAAATGTTACGACAAAGAAAAGTAATTTCATTATACAATTTTATACCATGTATCGCTCGCAAGAAATCTCATGAACGAAATATAGATTTGATTGATCATTGTGGAATAGGTTCATTTTTTCTGATATAAGTATAGAAATAAGTCACGCGGAGTTTTTTATTGCCCAAAAGTGTCATATCTACAAATTCCAATGATGAAGAAAACGAATATCAACACCAAAAGCAATAGTTAGACATAAATGCTAATATATCTTATTTTATTACTGTATTAACATATATTGCTAAAAAGGTAAAAGTAAAATTTTTTGTAAGTTGTACACAGTATAATAAGATTAAATAATTATCACCATATTCTTTCTACATAGATATAATAATCTCAAATACATTACATTTATAGTAAATAAAAATAAATATAGATTATTAAATATTAAAATGATTTTAATTCATACCACTTAAAAAAGTAATTAAAACTCATATTTATTAATATTATATTTTTGTAAAAATATTGCATGGATGAAAATGTTATATGTACAATATATTTATAAACATAACTATATTTTCATAATTTGCTTATTAATTTTTTTTAAATATAAGAAACAAAATATCCTAATTAAAAAAAGTAAAAATCACATTTTGCAAGTAAACTAACATAAGTTCGTTTTTTATAAGTTCTTTTGACAGCAAATTTTATGCAAACTAATATAAGTATAATAGCAGATGCAACATACAATACAACACAAATACTTATGTCAAAAATTGTAAAATCCCATCCAACTTTCTTATTATTTGTATATTTACTTAATATAAGTCTTTCTTGTCTTATTTTCATCTTATTACTATTATTTTTATGTGTATTTACTGAATCATAGTAATTTATTCTTTTATAATCATACTTTGTTTTAAGATAATGTAAAACATTTTCTTCATTCCAAGTATTATTTTCATATCTACAATTTGGACAATGCTCAGTTGCTGGATATTGAATCTTTTTATGTTTTGGATCTTCTGTGTTATCACCTGACAATCTTGCATTTACTTCATTATGAGCTGACCATAACCATAAAACACTATCATTAGCATTAGATACATTAAACATTTTGTTCTTTAAAGCCATTTGGATAAAATGTTGAGAACAATCAGCACATCCAAAAAAGTATTGTATGTATCCATGCATTGCTTCTAATATCTTTCTTGGTTCATGATTAACATCTTTATTTAAGGTAGCAAAATTAACTGTTAACATATGAAACATTGTCCAAAAACCACAAGGATATCCTCGATATCCTTCTTTACTCCCTTTACAGGCAATCCATTTTGCAGGTCCAGAGTATATTGGTGACATTTCTTCTTCTACAGATTTTACTATTTGACTAAATTCTTCTCCAGATATATTATTTCTTTTTTTAATTATATCTCTAGTAGTTTCTAGGAAAATATTACCATATCTTAGTGGAAAATAATCAGCTAATACATTTAAATATTTTTTCAATGCATCCATTTTTTTATCTTTTATTATTTTATGTAATGGAATTTCATGAGAGATTGAATATCTTAATGTATTTTCTAAATCAAGTTGATACAGATGGTCTTCACTTTTGTCAGTATTCATAAGCTGTTCTATTACTTGCAATTGCTTTGTGGTGCTAGTACTTGATTTATGATATTCATCCTTTATTGAATAATTTTTAACAGGACTTTGTTCATGAATTGTTTCTCCTTTTGAAATCAAAAATTCTTTAATTACAGTGCACACACCTTCTTGTGTAGGTATTCTGATTTTAAGAATTTTTTGTGTTTCATTGCGAGTTAAAACTATTAAACTTGGGAAATTTGTAATTTTGTTTGTCTCACATAACAACTCATTATCAGATAATACTCTTCTTATTTGTAGTATTTTAATTTTGTGCATATATAATATAACTTCTGCACCTAAATGAGAATCTGTGTTTTCAAATAATAAAAAGAAATATTTTACAGCATTTGGTATAGCCTTCCAAATATTTGCTGTTTCATAATTTCTATAATGACAACAAAATAACTAATTTATATTATTTATAAAAATAGATATAAAAATTAAAAAAGATATAAATTAATATACCTAAATGGTGCTATATTCGGCCAAGAAATACCTCTTCCTTCTTGCTGTTCTCTTTCCAACAAATCTATCAAACTGTGTCTAAGTTCATTAACATTATCATACTTTTCCATCAATAATCCTAATGATGGTTGATGTGCATTTACAGAAAAATATTTAAGCATAGGATAGTGCATAATTTCGTATTCACGACAAATTGGATTATTTTCATCATCTGCACAATCTATAGCAGCAACTACTACGATATCTTTCCATGCTAAAAAGGTTATCAAAATTAATTATTTGTAAGATATGTTTAATCTCATGTTTAATATATATTTAAAACTTTTCTCTAAAGGCTTTTTTAAGATATACTTTCTCATTAATGCATTTCTTCATACTATATACGATGAATATAAAAAGTGGTATTACAAATGTTAAATGACATATATAAAAAAATAGATAAGGTAAACAGTAGCAATGTTATTTCAGTGTAATTTTTAATCAATTTATAATTGCTATAATTTACTTACCGTAAATATCATTGGCGAAATCTTTCCATACAGGTGCGAATCGAAAACAATAGCCACACCAACTATTATAAAATTCGACTAACCAACCTTTTGTGTCTCCGTAAACAGATGAATTAAAGTTAGTGACGTTTAAAATAACGACATTATCACTAGCATTATACAATCCTTGTGCAGGTATTTGACTTTGATATGATTCTTTTGGTACGGCAGCATTACAATCTACTACTATTATACTAATCAACCATAATTTCCACAATAAATCAACATCGAAACGACCCATGTTTTGTTTTTAAAAATCGTTTCTCTATTAACATAGACACCCAACTTTACGTTTTTGTTAAGGCGCTTCCAATATAAAATTTCTACGTAAGGCATGTTTTCATGAGAAATATTACAGTAACTATATAATAAAATATTGATAAAAACTGAAAACCGAATTTAAAAACGTAATAATATTGATATAATGGAAGCTTTTACCAAATTATTAAATTACAAAAAAAATTGTGAATATGAACGTGCAATATTTTTGTGTAGTTCATAATTTATGTTAATATTAAAAAGTAGGAACAATAATAACTATACATAAAAAAATATTTTTTCCATTAGTGCAAAATTTAAATTTCATTTAATATGCCTAATGATAAATATGCAATTATAAATTACTTGTTATTCCATCAAATTAAATTTTATTATCTTTCTAAATCACTTCAATTCAAATTCACAATTATTATACTAATCTTTATTAAATTCAGATAAAATTTTTTTATATATTACTTATTATCAACTTTCTGTAAATCTTAAAATAATAAATGTCAGGTAAAGAATTATGTATATTAAAAAAAAAACACTGTTTATTAGTTGTTTCAATTTGAATTACTGCTGATTATTCCTATACAAAATGAAAACAATAGGATGTCACCCTTAAGGATAAATAGGAGGTTTTAGGATGGTGGAGGGAATAAGGGCGAAGGTATATATGTTTATTTATTTTTAACACCTAATTACGGATATATCATTTAACCAAATCAACTGATAAAGAATATGATCGGTATAAACCTTGAAGCAGCTTACGCTCTTATCCCTACTCATAAAAGATTTCGATGCTTCTTGAACATTTTCTGAAACGTTCGACCAGTTTCACCCCCAACCAATGGCTTGTCCAGGTCGGGGGCCTGATGATCAACGATTTCTTACTGTCTTGAGGCTTGCTTTCTACAGAGTGCTTGCAGTTCTTCTAGGCTTGAGACTTCTCAGCCGGTAAGGAATGCGATTCGGATCATATTCTTTGTCACAAGCGCGAAAAACCTTCGGATCTTCGAAATTCGAGCAAGACAAACATCTTCAGATATCTTGTCTTCAACTTTTCAAAACTTTCATTTTTTCAGAGTGAAACTTCAAACTTCCCTCTATCATCCAATACCTCTTGATTCAAAACCTTATAAACAAACAAACAGGTTAGAGAACTTACTTCTATTTTTATTTTATTTTTGTTTTGTTTCGTTCTTTTCTGTGTATGTGTTTTGTTCTTTCCGTTTTTCTTTTTTTTCTTTTTTTTTCCCTTTTTTATATAAACATTTAGGAATACCACATTTTTCCAGACTAATACCACGTTTTACCAGTGATATTTAAAAATCCAAATGGCTGGAATATAATTTTTAAGCAAATAAGTAAAGTCAAAGAAAAATGGGAACAATTATATTCCAACCTTCACATATTAGCGTCATGTCGTTACAATAAGTAAACCTTATCATCATAAAAATTCATTAGGAAGTAATAGAAATATTATGAAAATAAGGTTTTTTGTGTCCATTCTAACCTTACTGTTTCATGCAAAGAATATACTACACTTCTTTGCACATTAGGTTATCTCATTAATTGATATTGTACAATATCGTAATTTAAATGCTGTATATTAATTGCATATGAAGTAGAACTAGGTAAGGTAAGAATAGTAGTAAGAATGTAGCGTTTGCATTTTTTTGACCCGGTACAGTATTGTTAGAAGAAATTTGAGGTCAAAGGGTCAAGTCACACAAATGGTCTCCCAAACACCTGGCCTCTCGCATCACACTCGTGTCACTTAATATCGACCTGAAATTCATTAAGCAACAAAAACTATGATTGTTTGACCCATGTTATGGGTTACACTTAGTTACTACCGTACGATTTATTGGATGCATTCCTTGATGCTCCTGTCTTCCATTCTTGCTAATTTAACTACTTATTTGTACTTAAACATCTTGCTTGAAAGTAAATATAAGCGGTCTACGAAAATATGAATCTAAATTAAAAACTTTTATTATAAATTATTACAAATAAATTATTTAAATTATGTAATATAAAAATCTCAAGTTATATATTATACTGTATACTGTAATATATACAAGAAATATATATATGTATATGTATATATATGTTTCGTGCATGTAAACAAATAGTATTAATACTTTTTACTTAACTTCTTTAAATGTAAATTTAATACTAAATATAAAAAGTACATGAATAAAATATTTTTAAATACTACTCCATATATATATATTTTTTTTATTTAAAGAATGTCAACCTTTCATAATACTTTAATACATTAAATTTTTACATGAAATTTTATTGCATGTAATTTTTCAAAACATTTTCTTTTATATAAATAGATTTGAAAGTAATTATTCTTTTCTGTTATTTAATGTTTCGATTCTATTATTTAATGTTAAAATAAAGTAAATCCAAAATTAAAATAAGATACGAGAAAAATGATAAATTTATATACATAAAATTTTAATATTACTGTTCATTTTAAAAATTTTCATAAAGTAACAATGAAATATATGATGATGACATGACATAATATCTATGATTGACACGTACTTAATGTTTTTAATCTTCTATGAATAGGTCTGAAGTATTCATGTATCTTAATGTGTTATTTTCAAGTTAAGAGAAGCAAATCTCAGTGAATTATACAATACCAAATCAATGAGCTTTTGCTTTTTTTTTTAAAATATAAATATTTTTAAAGGAGACACATATCCATGTAGACTGCTTATATTAGGTTGCATGACAACAAAAAGTAAACTTACGTGGGGAATAAGAGCGTGATCGAGATCTGTCGTAGCGTGAACGACGGCGATTGTAGTACGGGCTAGGCGAACGTCGATAACTTCCTCTGTAACTACTGTCTCATTGAAGAGAGGGGAAAAAAAGAAAAAATTACGACCGTTATAAATTATCATACTATGTAAAATATTAAGATAAAGTACACTCACTCTCTTCTTCTGGGTCCATCCCATCCTCTATCATGGAGATGTGTAGGTTTTCCCATGTAAATTCCTGGGGTTGGTGTATGAGCTCGTTGTGTAATTGAAAAATCTACCCTTATTCTTCGACCATCGATTTCCATTCCTGTGCACTGTTCTTTTGCTACTTTAGCATCTTCAGATGATTCAAAATATACAAAACAAAAACCTCGTGAACGTCCAGTCTGAAATATGAATATTTACATGTTGTATTATTCTAATAGTCTTAATAGAAATATGATGTCATTTTTATTCTACATTGTTTTAAATAAATGAAATATGACCAGAAGCCTTTAACGTTTTATATAAACTTAATATATCAACGTTCTAAATTCCTGGTACAATTTGCTATATCCCTTTCTCTTAAATAGTTAAGGGATTATAATATTAATGATTTTTCATTAGCTATGAAATTTTATTGCATGTAATTTTTCAAAACATTTTCTTTTATATAAATAGATTTGAAAGTAATTATTCTTTTCTGTTATTTAATGTTTCGATTCTATTATTTAATGTTAAAATAAAGTAAATCCAAAATTAAAATAAGATACGAGAAAAATGATAAATTTATATACATAAAATTTTAATATTACTGTTCATTTTAAAAATTTTCATAAAGTAACAATGAAATATATGATGATGACATGACATAATATCTATGATTGACACGTACTTAATGTTTTTAATCTTCTATGAATAGGTCTGAAGTATTCATGTATCTTAATGTGTTATTTTCAAGTTAAGAGAAGCAAATCTCAGTGAATTATACAATACCAAATCAATGAGCTTTTGCTTTTTTTTTTAAAATATAAATATTTTTAAAGGAGACACATATCCATGTAGACTGCTTATATTAGGTTGCATGACAACAAAAAGTAAACTTACGTGGGGAATAAGAGCGTGATCGAGATCTGTCGTAGCGTGAACGACGGCGATTGTAGTACGGGCTAGGCGAACGTCGATAACTTCCTCTGTAACTACTGTCTCATTGAAGAGAGGGGAAAAAAAGAAAAAATTACGACCGTTATAAATTATCATACTATGTAAAATATTAAGATAAAGTACACTCACTCTCTTCTTCTGGGTCCATCCCATCCTCTATCATGGAGATGTGTAGGTTTTCCCATGTAAATTCCTGGGGTTGGTGTATGAGCTCGTTGTGTAATTGAAAAATCTACCCTTATTCTTCGACCATCGATTTCCATTCCTGTGCACTGTTCTTTTGCTACTTTAGCATCTTCAGATGATTCAAAATATACAAAACAAAAACCTCGTGAACGTCCAGTCTGAAATATGAATATTTACATGTTGTATTATTCTAATAGTCTTAATAGAAATATGATGTCATTTTTATTCTACATTGTTTTAAATAAATGAAATATGACCAGAAGCCTTTAACGTTTTATATAAACTTAATATATCAACGTTCTAAATTCCTGGTACAATTTGCTATATCCCTTTCTCTTAAATAGTTAAGGGATTATAATATTAATGATTTTTCATTAGCTATCATGTCTAGATTTGGAAATACTATTGATGTTCATAATCTGTTAGTATTAAATACCTTTGCATCAATTACAACTTGTACACGTTCAACAGGTCCATATTTGGAAAAAATGTGATGTATTTGTTGTTCAGTTGTAAAAATAGAAAGTCCAAATACACCTAAGCATCTGGAAGGACAAGGATTATCCCTGTTTCCAACATGTCGCCGTCTAGATGACATTGGACTGCGAGAATGTGAACGATAAATGTTCCTATCACGTTCACGGGAGTAACGGGAACGTGAGTATGATCGAGATCTGCTTCGAGAATACCGCCCACCCCTATAAGGAGAACGACTACGGCTGCGACTACTACCACGATGACCTGCACTGGCATATTTGCTACTGCGATAAGATTTTCTTCCTCTTGACACTGAACGGCTTCGAGATCTTGAATATTCTTTTACTGGTCGATGAGATTCTTTACGTTCTCGTGATTTACGTGATCTTGAATGTGAACGCGAATCTCTTAAACCTCCATCTGCAGTTCTTGGTCTTCTAGGACTTGCACTCCGACTACCACTTCGCTAAAAACAACATTAAAATTTTATATTGTTATTATTTCAATTTGTTAGTGTCTTTATTTTCTAAGCTATAAATTCAAATAATAAAGTATACTAATTATACAGATTCGAAAGCTTAACCTTTTAAACTATAATTGAGACGCTACACATAAGATACTAAACGAATGTTTTATTAAAATAGAAAAATTAGTAGCATAATTTTTAATAATTTTACAAATTAATAAAAGTCCAAAAACAAAAAAAGGAGCATTAAAATTATAACATAAACGTGAAACATAATTGAACGTTGATGGATCAATAATGGCTGTGAACAGCCGCATGTCGTTACAGTTGCAATATGTATAAAATTAGACATAAAATAATTATTTAAAGGAGATAAATATAGAAATTACCTCAATATCACTCATTATGAAACTTCAAATACAAATAAATGTGTTAAATGTAGTAAAAACCGACCAAAACGTTTGGAATAATGTGCCGTAGCGTCAGTATGCAATAATGGCGGACAATCTCTAGTCCGTTTCAGCGGGCAACAGCCGGAAATGATGATTCCAGGTGGTATACAAATGCGAAACATACCAACATCCGGTGTTGCCAAGGAACGATAGTGAAAATTGAAAATGGCGATGTATTTTTCGAATTGGCGCCGGTTTAAATATAAATAATATTGTAAATTATATTTAATTTTTATTTTGTAGTATATTAAATAAGATTTACCAAATATATGAATTATTATTTATAACAATATTTCACTCAAATTTAAAATTATTTCATTAAAATTCGCTCATAATATCTACAAAACATATTAAAATATAAAATTACCATACTTTAATTATGTATATATTACTTTATTTAATTATATATAAGTTTATTGTAGTAAATAAATAATATAATATAATAAGAATAATTCAAGAAATTTGTTTTATAAAACCGCCAGTAATGCACCTGCGCAGAAAGATGCGCGTGCTCTCTGCGTCTATAAAACCTATTCACATCGCATACTGCGGCAGAATCCGAAACGAGGAAGATCCTCCGGTAGTCAGTAAACCATTTTTCTGTCGTCAAACGGATCAAGCTTTTTGTGAGACTTGGATCGGTCACAAAAAGCGGGATTCGCTTTTCGCATAGGAATTGGCCTGTTAAAGAGCCAGTTTATATATATAAAACGTTTGAAAATTGTAAGTAAAGGTAGTGACATTTTTGATTTTGTGTAGCTGACGATTCTGTGACCGGTTGATCTATGCACTTCTTTATCATCGTTTCATATAGAACTATGTCAGCGATGAAATTGTCATTGGCTCTATTTTCGGTGAAATCGCAATAAAGCATAACCTTTTGTTATTGAATTTTCTGTGCTTTATATACTAGAATTAATCAATGAATTTTATAACAATCATGGCCGCCAGCCGGTTTTCCTCCCGTTTTATACTGCATAGGTAGATCTTATGTTCGTCATTAAGAATTTTAGTAAATATTAGAATTTTATTATCAAACATATTATAGTTTTGTTTTTTAATGTAATCTACATTTTCATTTTTTGTTGATCATAAGACTGACACGAAAAAGATAAATTGGGAAAAATATATATTAAGAGTATACGTCGATAAAATATTAGAAAATTTATTTGATCATAAAGAAAATATCTTTAAGATTATTAATATAAATACTAATAAATTAAAATAATTTATAAGGATTTTAATGTTGTATCATTATTCATTGAAATTTTGTTGATCGTTTACTTAGTAATTTGAAATTTAAGATCTAAAAATTGACTGTTAATAAGTAAATCTACAATCTGATATTTGATAGTTCTATATGAGTAATATGTTATAGATAAAAAGTATTGTCACTTATTAGACTTTTGATAAAATTTTTAAAAATTGAATATTTATAAAATTATATTTGAATTTATAGATAGCAAAAATGGAAGAAATGCATCAGCCACAACAGGTTGGGCCTAATATGATGGCCAGTGTAGGTGGGGTTCCTAACCACTCAAATAATGTTAATCGGCGTAACAGAGTTCGATCCTCATTACACAGTTTGATGATAGGAAAACGTCCAATAAGTGAGGATGCTCAATTGGAGATGAAATCATTGTCTAACAAAACACCAGTTTCTGTTCTTCAGGAATTGCTTTCTCGTAGGGGCACAATACCAAAGTATGAATTAATACAAGTAGAAGGTGCTGTCCATGAGCCTATTTTTCGTTACCGTGTTACTGTTGCTGATGTTGTTGGTTTGTATCTAATTTTGATGATATATTTAGTTTTTAAATAGTTGATTTAAATTATTAAACTTAAATTTCAGTGAAATTGATATAATGTTTTTATTTAATTATTAAATTAATTTTAATCACTAAAAGTAAACTGCAACTATAAATTAATTATACAGTTCTAATTCTACTTAGATTTTTGGTTTTTTAGAAAACCACATATTTACCATTGAATGAAAAAGGTAAATGATAAGTATCTGATGATTGAAGTAGATCCAATTGTTTCAGCAATGGGGACTGGAAAGTCAAAGAAAGTGGCAAAGCATGCTGCTGCAAAGGCTGTATTGGATAAATTATGTAGACTAAATAGTGAAGCACCAGATTCTCCACTTCCAAATAATCTACCAGAGTAATAAACAGTAACAATGTATATTTTTTATATTTTATTGTTTATATGTTTTATTTAACCTATTTTATTTTATGTAGTTCTGAAAATTTACAAGAATTGTCTGGATATGGAGAAGAAAAAATAATTACAAATCCAATTGGTGCTTTGCAAGAAATGTGTATGTCACGTCATTGGCCTCCACCAAAATATACAATAGAAAATGAAGAGGGTTTGCCCCATGAAAGACAATTCACAATTGTTTGTTCTGTGTTAAAATATCGTGAAGTTGGACAAGGAAAAAGTAAGAAAGTTGCAAAAAGGTATGCAGCTCATAAAATGTGGCAAGCTTTACACTATATGATTACAGAAAACTCTAATATAGATGAAGATGAGGTAAGAATATTCTTTTGTTTATTTAATTTAATTCATTAAGTATTTCAGTCATATAAAGTTAAATATAATTGTTTCTTATACATTCAATTATATTACTTTTTTACTTTTATTAATGTATTTTAGTTATTTAATGAAGTAATATTAACACATTATTTGCTTAAGCTGTGTACTTGTATGTGAATTGTTTTTATTGTGTATGTGTGTGTATGCTTAGTGAAGTGGAAGTGATTTGGAACTGCAAGCAGTATTATGAAATATAAGCTACCTTTCCGATCACCCTGAATCTATAACGGATAATGGTTATGATTTGAATTATACGTAATTTATGTATATTCTGTATTATAAGTCATTTACATAACAGTATATGATTTCAACAATAACACACTTGGATCATTTCCACTTCATTTTACTCTTAATGTAAATGCAGTCATTAGTGAATTTTTTCCAATGATGAGCATATAACTAAATTTTTACATATGTTAATTGTCCGTTATAGGTTTTGCAAACAAATGCAAATGTGAGTGCCCATTATGCTGATTTGAAAGGTAGCAAAATTTCAACACTAACCACTATTCATAGCCTTAAAGTTTCACAATTTCATAAAAGTCTGAAGTCATCTACTGGTGTTAAACTTTTTGAATTACAGGTTTGTAGTGTAATTAATAAAATATATCATGTTTAACTGTTTTTAATTACAAAAATAAAGAATAAAATAATTAAATTTCCTAATCTTATTAAATTTGCTTTATTGTTCTTTTTTGTTACAGAATACATGTTTAAACGATGGTGATGTAAATTTGGTACAATTTTTGCAAGAGATTGCTTCAGAGCAGCAATTTGAAGTAACTTATGTTGATATTGAAGAAAAGTCTATCAGTGGTAAGTAATTAATCTTCTTCCACCAAGTTCTATTAATTTAGTGTATTTTTTAAATTTAATTTACTTGTTGAAAAATAGAGTTAACTCTTTATGCTACAATGGAAACTGTACTAATAAATTTGTTATGAACTTTTCATGTTAAACTGTATATTGATGAGTTACACTGTATATGTGACTTTGAAAATTATATTTAACATGTTTTAATACGCGGAAAATATAAGAATCATAAAGTGAAATATGTAATTTTTTATAATTAAATTGTAGCATAAAGCATTAAAAATATGAATAAAAGATGCACATTACTTTTCCGTAACTATTAGATCCAATGATATATCATTTTCAGATGTAGGAATATCTTCCCGTAATTGTTCATTAAATGCGACTGCAATTAAATGTGGTTTCGTTTGTTGTTTCTTTAGACATAATTCCAAAAATTTGTCATAATAACCCATTCCATGTCCTAAACGTTTTCCTAATTGATATATATTATTATAGTTTTAAAAAAATTAATGTTTTTTTAAAATAATTTATATAAATTAAATTTTACTTACCATCTATAGTAAATGCAACACCTGGTAAAAGTATTACATCTAATCCACCTAAAACATGTTTTTTAAAATATTCGTTTTTGTGTCCTAGTTTTAATGAGAAACTTATATATGCTGGTATTGATAATATTGATAATTGAAGATTATGTATGTTTATATAAATTAATTATTTCAAATCTTACCAGTTTCTAATGCATTTTCCCGAGGTTCATTAAAGTTTGGTTGTTTAATATTCCATTTAGTTAATGGCAATGTCTCATAATCTTCCATTGAAAATAGTTTTACCATTTCTATGACTTTTCCTTTATATCTAGGAACGAATACTTCCTTTTGTGTTTCAAACATATATTTTAGTATTCGAATTGTATCAATTTCATCTTTTGTACTTAAATATAAGGAAACTCTTTTACTGTTTTGGATTTCTGGTAGAGAACATAGCTGTCCATATAGAAATATTTATTAGGAATGATTTTAAATAAAAGTATAATATAATTATTTATGTATATCATAGATAAATTGGTGACTTTTTTTATATACTTACTTTTTCAAATACTTTCGTTGATTGTCTTTGTTTTTCTTCTATACTAAGTTGTGTAATGATATTTTTCATTTTTTTACGTAAAGCAACTTTAGCAGATTTTATCCCATACATGATTTTAACGTTTTTGTACCCTTTATAAAAAAAAATCCTATATGTAAATACAGGGTGTGTCTTTTAATTTATAATATTAGAATTTGTTATGAGAGATTGAACCTATCAAACATGTTTTTATAAAGATTGTTTGGTATAATGGAATCATATGGTGCAGTGTATTTTTTTTTTTTTAAGTGAGTAGTTTAGGTGATTTTAGAGTCAAATTAATTTTTTCAAAATGGAAATATATAT